CAACACGGTACAACACATCACTCAATTTTGGTTTTCAAATTTTATTAATTCTTGAACGATTGATTTTTTCTCAAATAATTAAAAGGCCGAAAAAATAATATCTGAAAGTCAAAAACGTCTTTGAATTCATTTTGAAAACGATTTCGAGAGTCAGGGCTAATTGCATTCGTAAACATTAAGCTTGTAGTTTATTCCCTAGTCTCGCCATTTACATGACTGAAGCAAAATAGTTCCGTCAGTAAATTAAGTCAGTAAGAGTTTTTGAGGGTGTATCACATGTAACAGTTTATGTAATAAAATTGATAATCTTCCAATGATATAACAACTTTTTTTGCCTGTAGATTATGATTACCACTATGTTTGGTAAATTCTTCGATTTCCATACAGTACTTAAGTAATTGACAACTGAAAGCAAAACAAAAACAAAAAAAAGGTCCTCCGTGATATAAATTACCACAGTTCTATACACGTTTTATCATATTACGAACGATATTTGAAAATCGATTTTGTCCTTATTGAAATAGACGACAAACGGAAGACTTCCGAAGCATCTGGCCTCGTAATAACTTCCAAATTTGTCAGCAAGAAAACTGTTTTAGAGCATTTCGAACTTACAATCGTCGTGGAAGCCTCGCGATATATTTTATCCGAGAGAGAATCTATTTTAGAACCAGTCTACATGCACTACTTTTAACGATTTCAGTGGACCACATACCGAAAAACTGGGGGAAATGGGTTCAATATCAACTATGAACTTCAGTTCCCATCGAGTTGCCTATGACGAATACTCAGGTAGAAAGATTTCTTGCATCACATAATATATGGTATGGGCAAAGAACAACATAACACCCGCCGAGATAAAATTACCATGCAAGGGTTTTTCTCGAATCATTGATTTTTTTTTCTAGCAAAATCAAAAAATTAAATAATGCTGAATTTTATACTAGCCAATCACGAGCGGCGTTCGTGATATCAAATCACATACGGTATTGAACATTTCATCTATAGAAATTCAAGTTTGCATTTCGGAAACTCAGAAACCCCGTAGGCAGATTTTAGCCCATTCGGCTCTAATTTACAATGAGGTCGCCTTTAGATTTGTCCTGATCTGCAGGATTAATGATATCGTCGCATCGCATTCAGCCCGTTGAGCGACAAAGAAAGACTGAACTAATTTCAACTGATAAATGCCGAGATAAGGAGAGATTCAACGGTTATAGAGTTATAACCTATTTACAAGGTCATTGGATTTCTAGCCTTCTGATTGACTGAAGGGAGCCACATTCTAATCTCGTAGGCTGTAGCTAGCTTCGAGCCCATAACCTAACTCCAACAAATATGGTCAATAATATAAACGAAATGGGGAAAAAAAGTTCCGTGAGCGAGCCGTGAAACAATGATCATAGAAAAAATCAGTTAGCCCCAGGGGCTTCGCTACAACTGAAGAAATAACCGAGCAGCAACAGAAAATATTAGCTTAATACTTAACACCTAAATCGGTATGAAAACGGAAAATGAAGAAGTTTCTCTTCACTAAATGCGTACGTTGATTTGTTTACACTTTGAGCTAACATTTCCGACAAGCGAAAGTAAACCGTTTCGCTGACCTTTCAGAGAGTGGCTCAACAGTCCCAGTGGGTGAGAATTTAAAACACCTATTGAAGATCTTGCCCTAAATCTTTTCTCGTGTCCGCGAAAAAATAAGACGGCACGTTGTACAAAACGGCCTCGCCTCAATCGATCCGAGCAGTCATGGATCGCCGCTTTCCTAGCTCGCTTCCCCTATGCAAAGACAATGACCTCGGCCTAGCCACATGAAAGCGTTTCAGTTTGGGCTTCTTCAGAGTGGTAAAAGCTTTGTAAACTTTCAGAATATGGACTTTTCCATACGAATAATACGCAGACTCATTCACCGGCACGTGTGTTCACGTCATTCTCAAGATAACCAAAAAGCTAAAGCTAGCTAAAAAAATTTGAAAAACGTCTGATTAAAAATCATTTAAAAAAAAAAAAGTAACAACAATTGTAACCCCGTATCTTTCCATTTTTTAATCCCTACTTACCAGGATTTTTTTACCCCAAAATCTTGACAATCTTCTAACTCTGTTGAAAATGCAAGCCTTTCATGGTTAAACCAGTCGTGATAATTAGTCTCCTTATAGCAGCACATTCCCACTACCCCATCAATAAGAAGTAACTTTCCGTCGGGGTGAGGGGGGAGGGGGGGCGGCAGCTGGCCGTAAAGCGATTAAATTCGCTTCAACTTTGTGAAACTAGATAGCTCTTATTGATGCTCACATTAATTTGCTGATGTCCTTGGCTTTGGAACACCAAGAACAATTCCTGCCGCTGAAGAGAAACGTGATCTATTAGACCGGCGCGAGTTCAGGCAGGGTTAAGTGCCCTTTTCATTGCTAGGCTTGTAGTTCTAGCTAATTTTAGATCTTATCATCAATTCTTATTTTTTATTACTGTTTACAAAGGCCAGTGACCTGTTATTCTACTTCCCAAGAGCTTACTTGGTTCCAGCTTTCAACTTAGTTTCACAGTATCGACGTTTATGTCTTTCAAGCTATTGGTAACAAATTTTCTTTTCTAGCAAAAAGTGCGTTGAAAAACGTCCGATTCAAAATAATTGCTAAAAGAATACTAAGATCCAGCTGTAAAGTAGAGAAAATAGGTAGTTATTGCATCATAATTTGGATATATCAACAAAGTTGGAATGGTAAATTAGCCACCGTAATGATTACAAAAGCTGACGTTTCGAGCGTTAGCCCTTCGTGGGAGCGAATAGAGGAATTGTGGGTTGTGTGTGCTTTTAAAGGCAGTAAATAGAGCTACGTTATTGGTGGGAACATGGCAGTGAGAAAAATACAAATAAATTAGTGAATGAAAAGCGTTCGTTGATCCCTGTGGGATTTAGACTGCCGGTTTGAAAAACCGGTAGTCCTCTTTCAAACCGGCAGTCTAAATCCCACAGGGATCAACGAACGCTTTTCATTCCACTAATTTATTCATGTTTTTCTCGTTGCCATGCTCCCACCAATAACGTAGCTCCATTTTTTGCCTTTAAAAGCACACGCAACCCAAAATTCCTCTATTCGCTCCGACGAAGGGCTAACGCTCGAAACGTCAGCTTTTGTAATCATTACGGTGACTAATTTACCATTTCAACTTTGTTGATATATCCAAATTATTTGCTACCCCACCGACGCAGCCCCAAACAGTTTCTTTCGAAACTATCAGCAGTTATTGCATCAATCCGGAATCGTGACGGATTAAAAGTTATTCACAGAGCCAAAACAAGGTTATTTCCCCTTCCCTCCCTTAAAGGAATCAGTTCTAGTGATTTCACCTTCGTAATAAAAGGAAGTCAACCGTGCGACCTTTCCAACTTTTATCTACCGCACGTATTATGGCCTGTTAGTAGCAGTAGTTTGTTCCTCTTCTGCTTCTAAATGTAAGCGAGACCAGTAATTAATTAATTTTGTTGTTCTTTCGACTCCTTACGCACACAGTTTTCATTGCGGCACATTCTGGCATACTCTTAACCTCCCTTAAACAGTGTTGCGTCGCCGATGTTAGCATTTGCTAAAATCTTCCGGATAATTTCAAGAATTACCGGCAACGATTGCGCCTTATAAATAAAGGTTATTTAGTTCCTGCTTTCACCTCAAGCTTTGTGAACTTTCAGAACATCGATTTTTCCATTGAGGGCATTGACAAATACGCAGACTCAATCATCAGCATGCGTGTCCACGAAGTTCTCAATCACATTATCGCAGGTTTTGGAATTGAAGCTGCCTTTGTGTTCTGGTCGTTTTCAAACCAAACAAAAGCCAGTTGGTAGATTAATGTTTTAATGCCGCTGAACAGAATCGTGATCAATTAGACGCGAGTTCAAGCAGGGTTAAGTGTCCCTTTTATTACGTTAGGCACGTAGTTCCGGTTAATCAGTTACACCTTATCATCAGTTGTTGTTGTTGTTGTTTTTTTTTTATTACTGTTCACCCAGGCCAGTGACCAGTTATTCTACTTCCTAAAAGGTTATTCAGCTCCTGCTTTTAATTTAGTTCTACAGTCTCGACGTTCATTTCTTTAAAGTAATAATGACATTTCTTTTCTAACACAAAAAGAAGTGAAAACTTTCTATTCAAATAAATTTCTAAAAGAATACCAAGATCCAGCTGTAAACTAACAGAAACTGGTTAACAATAACTGCAACTATCTAGAATCGTGACGGATTAAAAGACGGTATTCCAGAGCCAAAAGAATATTATTTGCCCCTTACATCATTAAAGAAATCAGTTCTAGTTATTTCGTCCTAATTAAATTGATATCGAAATAATAGGATTAACAAAAACATAAGGAGTAGATCATGCGATACTTTTTACTGTTTATCCACCGCACGTATTACTGTTTTCCAGTATTAAAATTTTCTTAAATCTTCCTGTTTGTGATGGCATAGTGTCAAGAAATTACAGGTAGCAGTCGCGCTGCTTAACCCTCGATGACAGCGGGAAATGAAACTTTTTCCAAGAATTCGGAATTATTTTGATGACCGGATGATCCAACAAGCAGTGCGCACATCAGGGGCTTTGAACGTATTAGCGTGCTTAAGCGAGAGAGGAACAAAACTAAACAAAAACAAAAATAGATCTTAGAAACAAAAGTCGTAGTAGCTAACGAGTAGTTTAAATTTCCTTCTTCGATCTCTCAAAAAGGATAATAATTCCACAAAAGAATGGGTGATGGCCATACTTGCGTTCTTTATCTAATTTATTAATATTTGGAAATTCTTCCATCAAGAAACTTTGGTCGATCTACTGATATCTCCGTTTCCAGCGAATATATCACGCAACTCTTCCCCAGTCTGACGTTATCATTTAAGCACTTTCCAACTGCTTCTGTTTTGGGTAAAGGTCATGACTGTGTTGTTCATTTCAATTTATTCCTGACTGACGGAAATTCCTCCAACAAGCAACTTTCATCTCGATTGAATGACCTATTTGCAGCATATCAAGATATCAAAATTTCGTATTTGTCTGAAGGAGTTGTTTGCTGATCAGCTTGACCCTGTTACCGTGTCTTACGTTGTTCTGGCAGGTAAGTGCAACCCGCATGAAACAAAGTTACCATGTATACTTTCATTTTCAATTTTTTCGATAAACGTGTTATTTGTTTTGTTAGCAGAAAGTAGAAATTAACTAACTTATATCTGTCACGTTTGCTCGGCTTAGACGTGTTTAAACCTGGCTGGTCTTACTTTTCTGGCTTTTGCTACTCCACAAGTACGTCATGCAAAAACTGGACCGAGGCACAGAAAACCTGCCAACTATACAACACCAGCCTCATCGCCGTAAAAAGTCAAGAAGAAAATGTCTACATACAGCACCGTCTCAATGGAGAGAAAGGATGGATTGGATTTAATGAAAGAGACACCGAGGGCACCTTTGTTTGGGCCGGTAAACAGTTAAGCAACTTCACTTACTGGGCCCCACATCAACCCAACGATTTCAGACAGAACGAGGACTGTGTTCACACCTTGGGAGTTGGACATAAATTTACATGGAATGACGTTAATTGTGGAAGGTGTCATTAATACACATGTTCCGAAGGTAATTGCATTCTTTTTCTCTTTTGCAAGACCACTTTCTTTGAAAGAATTCATAGTCTTGAAAATTAATATTTGCTCGGTTTTAATTAGAAATTGGAATGGTGGAATTCGAAATGATTAACATCAGTCCATCCCCCTTCCACCCTCGTTCCTTCCTCCCTCCATCCTTCCCACCAATGGCCTTTTCTAGACAGTTGCGATGGGTAGCTTGCTTTTCTTGATCGTTTCTTTTTAATCATTGTTTTTGTGTTTCCTATCTTTGTTTCTTCATTCAATTTTTTCTTTATTTAAGACCTTGATGAATGTAAAGGAAATAATCATGACTGCTACTAGAATGGGATTTGTGCCAATAGACAGGGATCATGTATTGCAAGTGGTTGACTGATTAAGTGACCATCGAGCGACTGACTTATGTATATGTAAAAAGAGCCATGAGCTGAATCAGCAATATCATCATCACTTGATTTTTACTTATAAATCCCACAGACTTACTGCTTTTGTTGCTCTTGTTTTTGTTTTCATTACTAGTTAATGATTCTCACTTGGGAACGTTTGACCATCATACGCCGAGTCGTGTTAAAAACTCTGCCCATATTACAGTCCTTTATTATTATTTTTCTTTCCTTTTGCAGACGTAGATGAATGTTCTTCACGTCATAGGTGTCAGCAAAGCCACGTGTCAAAACACAGCTGGATCGTATACATGTACATGTATTAATGGTTACACTGGAGATGGAATCACGCGCAGAGGTACATTGTGCACTAACTTTTCCAAGAGCCATAATGGTCCCATTATGGCTCTTGCTTTTCAGATCACATTTATTCTTGATTTCAGTCCAAAAAGGTAATGCATTAGTTATTATAAGACTATAAATTCCCTGCCCCGCTCTCAGACTTATCACTTTTCCACCCAACCAATTGACATCCCTCGCTCACTTCCATCTCCAAGTCAGAAATGGAGACTTCGGGAGAAAAAAAATTTCGCTCTTATGACTTTCTAGGACGCACTCCGTAGTATGACTTTAAAAGCAGTTAATAAGCTGCATGACTTTTAAGATTGTTCGTATTCTCTTTTGCTTTAGCTGCTTTGAGATCTTGACCAAAAACCACCTCAACTCACAATAAAGGCTGGTAACATAGAGAAATATGTTGAGGCTTAAACTCAAGCTACAAAATTAAACACGCGATGTAGTATGAAAACGTGAATATCTCTCGTTAACTAGAGAATATGAAAAAAGTTCATGTTATAAGCGTCATTTGCTAGACAGGCAAGATGAACGGTGAGTTGCTCGTTTGGATGACTTTCGATTAATGAAGTCTCCCTAGAAGCCCAGCCCTTTCTGGTGACTGCCCAAAAACGGCTGTGAAGAAGACTGTAAAAGAAGGTTTTCATCGCCACGTGCGCAGGCAAATCTCTGAATACACAGTTTTTCCTGGTGTAGATGTCGATGAATGTACACTAAGCAGTCACGACTGTGTTGCCAACGCGAAATGTACCAACATTCCAGGATCATTTACGTGCCAGTGTGACCATTAATCACAGTTGAACCATCGTTACCTGGGAAAACCGTTAATCTTGACTTTGGATGAGGCTATCCCTCTGAGGACGAGTGAAAATTTGGGCGAGCGAAAATCGGCAAGGGTCACTTAATGATTTTTGTTTTGTTCTGTTTTGTTTTGTTTTGTTTTTAACTTCTTTGACATCAAGCTAAAACTACTTAACGTTTTCTAAAAATTATATTGACATTTTGTTTATGCTGTCAGGCAAAAAGTATGTAAAGAAAATGAAAAAAAAAAAAAATACTGGAAATATAAAAGGCAATTGATCTGTTGCAAACCTAATAGTGAGAGGAGACCAAGCTTTTCAGATGATTTGGTGCGACTGTACTAGCTATAATGGAGTTTAATTAAAGATAATTTGGTTTCTGTCTCATGGATGGCCTTCTTCAACCCCTGTTTTTACGAGCCCTAATTATCAGTTNTGTCAAGAAATTACAGGTAGCAGTCGCGCTGCTTAACCCTCGATGACAGCGGGAAATGAAACTTTTTCCAAGAATTCGGAATTATTTTGATGACCGGATGATCCAAGAAGCAGTGCGCACATCAGGTGCTGTGAACGTATTAGCGTGCTTAAGCGAGAGAGGAACAAAACTAAACAAAAACAAAAATAGATCTTAGAAACAAAAGTCGTAGTAGCTAACGAATAGTTTAAATTTCCTTCTTCGATCTCTCAAAAAGGATAATAATTCCACAAAAGAATGGGTGATGGCCATATTTGCGTTCTTTATCTAATTTATTAATAGTTGGAAATTCTTCCATCAAGAAACTTTGGGCGATCTACTGCTATCTTCGTTTCCAGCGAATATATCAAGCAACTCTTCCCCAGTCTGACGTTATCATTTAAGCACTTTCCAACTGCTTCTGTTTTGGGTAAAGGTCATGACTGTGTTGTTCATTTTAATTTATTCCTGACTGACGGAAATTTCTCCAACAAGCAACTTTGAGCTGTTCACGCTTTTCCTCGTTTCCGGCAAATATATATCAGGTAACTCTTCCTCATTCTGGCATCATTTAAGCATGTTCCGACTGCTTCTGTTCGCATTTCGTTCTGAAACTTTGGTATCAGAAGAACTTTCAGCAAGACTGCAATATCTACAGCTGTCACAGAATGACCTTAAAGAAGTTTTTTGTGCTGTTTGGTTTCTTAGTGTTTTCTCTTCAGCTATGTCTTTCAAGCGGTAAGTGTCCTGGTAATTTTGCAGCTGGTTTGATTTGATATTTCCAAATCATTTAGAGAAACGTTGGTCTCATATAACTAAGGTCGCTGCGTATGCATATATTCTATCATAAGTAGTTGACGGTTAAAATTCCCACAAAAGACATCGCGTGTAGCTAACTTTACTTAAATTCCAACATTTTGGTCTTCTTTTCTTTTTTTTTTTAACCTTCAGCATGAATAATGACAACGTTTTTTCGTTATTATTTTTAGCGGATGTCTTCCAAGCAGGAAGCGTCGACGTTACTGACACTTCCCAGAACAATCATGGTTGCCGGTCCGTCTCTTTCAAAACGCGGTTCCAGGGCTCAGGTGACGTCAAAGTATTTGTTACTCTTAGCCATGGGAACAAACATGTCAAAATCCACGACCCAGCAGCAGCGTGGGTAAAATCGGTCTCTACGTCAGGATTTAAGGTTTGCGTTCGCGAGGCAGGAAGTGGTTCGAAAGGTACGTCTGTCATTAACTGGCTCGCATTCCAAGGGTCTCATCAAGGAATCAAGTCTGGCATCCTGAACTTTGATGAATGGACTACAAGGACACAGTGCAAACGAGTATCGATGATTGATAAGCACCGTAGCGTAAGTCTTATTTGCCGTGTTCGTAACTTGCTTAGTGTGCAGCTCAATTAGTACTTTGCATGCAGCATATTTGTTTTATTTGAGGAAACTAAAGAAATACGTTGAATGCCACCTTCAAAAGCAAAACTTGCATCTCCGTAAATTTTTTAACCTTTTTGTACCAGCCATTGAAAATAAAACGGTAAAATTTTAATTTTTTCATTGTTACACCTCTGGTTTCTTTCCCTCTCATTCAATCACAGGGTTTCAAGAGCAAGCCACAAGTTTTTTTCACTGTTCAGCATAAGCATACAGACAGACCGCATGATTCTATGAATCTTTGGCTGGAAGGTGTCAATAAAAATGAGTTCTACGTCTGTATGAAAGAGTTCATGACATTTGATGGCATCCATTCGGGCCTAAAAGTGGTATGCAGTTTTCATAATTTAACGATATGTGATCTTCGTCAGTTAGCGACAGAACTAAAACACCCGAGGTCCATCAAATGGCGCAAGTTACGATTATTAGTTCTAGTCATTCTTTTATTGTTATCTTTCATCGTGTAAAGATTGCCATTAATAACTGTAACTTTCTTTTGTTTTTCTAATTACTTCATTCCTTTGGCTTCACCAGCATTGGTTTGCTTATGACGTCTTACCTTCCAACTGGAACTTCACTGGAGAAGGGAAGATTCACTTCGCCGGAAACGGTCCTCCATTACGAAAAAATAATTATGCTTTTTGCCAGGTAGGAATTGTTACCATGAATTTTTTGTTTGTTTTGTTTTGCTTTTTGTTCTCTTTGTTGCTTTTTCTGTTGTTGACTATAGCCAAGTTGATAGGAAGAAAAATCGATTTAATTTTTTTTTAAGTTGAAAAATTAATTCAAAAAACATTTACAGCTAGAACTGACGAGGTCAAAAAAGTTCTCTATAGATTTTTTTCGCGAACAGATCTATTGCAGACTGTTTAAAGTTTTGATTCTGTCACAAACAGGATTTCAAGTTTGAAAACCCATTTTACGAGCCGCCTACGGTCCTGATATCCGGAAGTCACGAAAACAATACAAGTGCATCGCGGAAAAACCCTGAAGATCGCTGTAACAATGCTGTAAACGTTTGGATAGAGGTATCAAATCATAATACGAACTAATTTTTTCATTTATCCTTGTATCCGTCAATTGGTTTGTTTCTTTGCCTTGGTTTCTGCGTTTTAGCTGATTTATTACCCATATTTTTGGTTCGTTGTTGCAAAAAGCATCCGGGGAGTAATAAAAGGCATGCAATGATTATAAAGACCTCTTTTCAGCCTAGATGCGCCGCCTATGGTGGACCACGATAGAGAATTGGAGGAATTAAGATACAAGTATGAAGCTTTAAGATGATGTATTTTATGATCTGTAAACTGTGGCTTTCCTTTTTATCGGTCATTGAAGTTGATCTGCATTTTACCCCTTGCGAAAAAGACACAAAATACGGTCTCAAAAATCTCAACGGTTCAATAAGTAATTTGGTAATTTCAACTAAGTTGAAATTGTAAAGTGGCCACCGTAAAGATTTAAAAGCTGACGTTTCGAGGGCTGACGAAGGGCTAACGTTCGAAACGTCAGCCTTTTAAGTCTTTGCGGCGGCCATTTTTAATTTCAACTTAGTTGATATTACCTAATTACCTTGTTACCCCCACCGACGCAGCGCCACAGTTTCTCTAGAAACTTACCCCCTTTATTCATTGAGTCAATAGGTAGACTTAAATGTAACAACATAATAAGAAATTTAAAAGAGATAAAACGACCATCTGTAAATTTTAAAAGTGGGATTGCATAATATTGTGGAGTATAAAGTTGCCGAAGTTGCGGAATTTTTCCTTGCTTTACAGGGTGGGGGGTGGGGAAACGGCTATCTACGCGTATCTTGAACTTTTCGATTTTTCGGTGGAAGCACAGCCCCATAAAACGTTTTGATAGCATTCAAGAAAAAGGTTCATCAAAAAATTTCTGTAGGAGAAATGAAATGAATTACGAAATTTTGCTTCTGTCGGTGGATTCTCGATATTTATGGTCAGTGGCTCTTAAACGTTCCCACACTAACTTCTGTAAAAATTCTTGGGAATTGCCTGTCAAGTTAGAAATTTAATTTGACTTTTCTTTTTAACTGTCTTTGCAGGAGGTCAGTAGGTCAGCGTTTAAGGTTTGTGTAAAGGACAGCCAAGGACTGAGCAAGACTCACGACCCAATAACTGTACATTATGCTATCATTGGAGGTGGGCAATAGACATTTATTATAAACTAATTTACCCATGTCTTTACACCGATTGAAAGGCATGTCAGAAATCAATAATCGTTCCAAATCATGGGCTGACCCAAGGAAAATGAGTTAAATGGCCCCATATTTTGTCATCGAATTGCTAACAGCATATGAAGATTTACCTTTCTGTTAGGGCCTTTTTTTTCTCTTCGCACGATTCAAAGCCACCTTTAACATGAGGTGGCCTTCTAGCTGTATTTACAGTTTCTTTTAAAACTACAAAAAGAATGAATCCTGATATACTTAAGTTCAAAACAATTAAAAGGGAAAGGTGTCTTTGAACATGTTTATTGATACGTTTGTTGGCTCGGGAGTCCCTTTTTTTTTTTTTTACTTCAGGAAAGAATCGTGTTCCTTTTAGGTTGTAGTGTGGCAATCCCAAAAACAATGATCACAAAATGTAGAGAGAACTTACAACAATCTTAGAGGCCAAATGTTGTAGAAATCGACAAAAAATGAGCCAGTCAGTTTCTCATTCAGACCCCACCTTTATCTTAAGTTACTGTAAAAGCTGCTCACTTGGTGGTTATATTTGATGCTATTCCAAAGACCTTGACCCGTGTATCAACGTTACATGCGACTACTTTGCTGTCTGCAAGGCATTCGACGCATTTGACGCCCGATGCGTATGCGAAGAAAACTGCCCTTCATATGAAGAACAAGTGTGTTCATCTAACTCAACCACGTTCAAAAATAAGTGCATATTTGAGCTGGAAATGTGCAGACTGAAGAGCAACCACACTCTCTATCATCCTGGAAGTTGCATGGGTAAGAAGTGGAGTGATACTTTTCTGTCTACGATCGTTTGTATGCTTTTATGTGTATCAATATATGTATTGATATATATGATGTACAATATAAGTACGATCACATCACAGAGGCACTGAAGTCACTTAAATGGCTTAACGTAAAGAAAAAACTACTTTTTAATGACTTAGTCATGGTTTATAAATGCATCAACAACTTGACTCCTAACTATCTCTGTGAACGATTTAAACAACGTTCCGAAATTCACCAAAGAGATACCAGACAGAAGAGCGAGCTTACGTTGCCCAAGTGCAGGATCGCGGCTGGGCAAAGGGCTTTTGCCTTCCGTGGGGCTAAAAGTTATAATTTTTTACCCAAATTTATCAGAGACACAGATAGCCTAAGTGGTTTTAAAAAGAAAATTTTTAAGAATATTCTTAATTCGTAACATGTGACTTTAGTATTGAAATATAAGCTAATTTTTTTTTTAATATCATGTTATCTTATTATGACGTTTTTACGACTTAATATCTTATATTCATGTATGGCGGAAGAGCCCCCAGGGGGGAGCTATGCAATAAAGTATGTATGTATGTATATATGTATAATATATATGTAGTTATACATCTATAACTACAAAACTATAACTATAACTACAGATATCAGGTATAGAATCAAGAGCGTTTCATGCTGCTCATAGGTACACACTCAAACCCACTTATGAATCGTGAGTGCCGCTGCTTAATTCATGAAAGAATGAAACTCGAGGATACTCAACCATATGAGTGTACATTAACTGGCACCTCAAATAACTTTGGGAAACATTTGCTTGATTTTGGTGCTTTAACTTTGCTCGTGTCATTAGGATACGTTTTGCTACTGAATTCATTGAGATAAATGAAGATAAATCACATGAGTTGTCGCCTCAGCACTGACAGGATAAATGTTTATTTAGTTTCTTAGAGTGTATGTAGTTTTTTTGCGCTCGGTACCATCAGATATTAGCGTAATGACACAAACCAGGCCCTGAAAGAATGACCAATACCTATAACAGCACATGGCTACAGCGGCTTGAAACTCTTTTAATGTTGCTTCAGGTTTTCCAGTTCAAAAAGGAAGAATTGAGTTGAAGAGAGATGTTCCCTGGGCAGAGACGGCCTGCGAGTTGGTGACCTTTCCGCCATTTTCATTCTACCCAGACAAGGAAGTGTACGTGCAGATTACTATCAATTACTGGAACTCCACCAGGAGGAATTTCGTGCACGAAGCCACTGTCTCGTGGGTGGAAAATGTCAATTACCAGAATTTCAGGGTTGGTCATTCTTGAATTACCAGGCGGAAAAATTGATTCAATATTTATTATCTGGTTTTCAATACAAACTCATCCTTCTAACTCTCGTTCGAGAAGATTTATCTGGTAGCTAAAAAAGAAACAGTAAAATGTTTAATAAGATGGTTATTTCATTTCTGCACTGTTACACTTGTGACAAACAATGCTCTTGATGCATCCGAGGGTCCTAAATGTATCATCTTTAATTGATGAAATGATTTACCATTGAGTTAGCCACCGGAATAAAGCAGCAGTAGTTCGTGAATTGACTTGAAAATTGATTTATTTTAAAGGTTAAATTTGTCCAGAAAAAAAAAAAACGATTTTATGCGGGACATTATGTTTACCAAATGTCCTTTTCTCTTAAAGGTTTGTGCGACAGCTGCGGGAAGAAATGATCGCGGAACAAAAGAATTTGCGACCGTCGACTGGATGGCTTATCAGGGAGCTCCAAATGGAGGTGTGACAGGAAATACACGTATTCCAGAATGGTGGACTGGAACGAAGTGCATAGAAATTAGTCTCCCAAAGGTGAGCGCCAGTTGCAACACTGCAGCCGAACCTTTACAATAGTGGTTTTAAATCTTTACCATTGCAGTCTTTTTTAATGATTCCTTACAAAATGACTAAATACTAAATACAACTGACCGTACCACATTTCATTCTACCTCGTCGACAACTAACAACTATAATTTTTTTACAAAGGATAAATTTGCAGCTACACCCCTAATTCTGGCGACAGCAGATCACGTAACTTCAGCTTTTAAGCACGATGCCGCCAGTCTGTGGATAGAAAATGCTACCAGTTCTACCTTTTACATTTGTCTCAGAGAGTTACAAAACTACGATGGTCTACATGAAGCCATCCTTGTGGTATGAACCAACTAAATATAATTTAACAACTTGGGCAGTGAATGCTTTTTTCGTTTTTTATGTTTTACATTACTTTTTGGTTAGTTTATTTTGCTTTGTTTTGTATTTTTTGCTTGCTCATTGTTTGTTCCTTTTTTACTTATTTTCGACGGGATTTATTTAGTTTTATGGTTGTTTGCCTTTCAGACAGAAAGATTGGTCAGTAGGCTATTGGTCAAACAAAATTTCCTCATTCAAAATTAAGAGAGGCATACGTCATTCGAAAACTTTGGCACATGACCCAAGAACGATTTCAATCAACATTTTTCGACCAATAATGTTGAAATACTTTTCACGAAGATCACAAAGAATGGAAGTCAGTCTTAACATTGTCGTTGTACATTTCAGTCTGAAATTGCCAATTTTTCTTGGTTTATGGTAAACAAACTTTATTTCAACACATTGTTTGAATTTGTCTTTCAAGAACTGGATGGCTTTTGAAGAAATTCATCGACCGCTTTTCGCTGAAAGTAGAAAAATAGACTTTCCTAACAACAGCTCTGTTTCTTCAAAGTACAATGGTGCGTTCTGCAAGGTAGGCTGCACACAAGTATCTTTGTTCGACAAAAAGATATTAGAGCTGGTAAATATATCGGCGAAGTATTGCTGCGCATATTGCAGCTTCTTCTTTTTAATAGGTCTAGTTACTCAATTAATTTTCTCTTATTTTCTATTCGTATTTATTCCTTACTTTTAATTGAGCAGACATAACTGTACAAACAACAGGTCTCGCTTGACTTATTAATGCGATGTGATTGAATAAAGGTTTCAGTCCGAAAATTAATACACAGTGCTTTATGAACACCTTTGTAAATAGGTTAATATTTAAGCTCCATTTATTGTAATGACATACTTTTTAATTCATAATATGTATGTAGATTTCTGTTGTAGTTTTTCCGAATTCGTTGTAACATAAGGTATATAGTTTTATCTTATGATGGAATAAGGACTTTATTATTATTATTATTATTATTATTATTGTTATTATTATTATTAGTGCAATGTTTATAATTTCGTGGAAAACCTTTGCCTGCTTTTCCTAACAGGACGTGCAGTTCGTTAAGACTTATGACAAGGAGCCTACGGTGCTAATCACCACGAATCACAATTCAGAAGGAAACAACCTAAAGCCAAAGTACATATCTGTTACTGCGTGGATAGAGGTGTGTTTTAATATCTTTATTACCATTTAATTGTTTACTAATGCGTCTTATGCAGTTTGACGGTTCAGTTAGTCAACTCAAGTGTGTCTATAACCTGTACCGATGTCTGCATAATCCTTCTTCTGCGCATGTAAACACTCACGATAGCATAGGAATTTCATCTCGATTGAATGACCTATTTGCAGCATATCCAGACATCAGAATTTCGTATTTGTCTCAAGGAGTTGTTTGCTGATCAGCATGACCCTGTTACCGTGTCTTACGTTGTTCTGGCAGGTAAGTGCAACCCGCATGAAACATAGTTACCATGTATACTTTCATTTTCAATTTTTCCGATAAACGTGTTATTTGTTATGTTAGCAGAAAGGTGAATTAACTAACCTATATCTGTGACGTTTGCTCGGCTTAGACGTGTGTAAACCTGGCTGGTCTTACTTTTCTGGCCTTTGCTACTCCACAAGTACATCATGCAAAAACTGGACCGAGGCACAGAAAACCTGCCAACTATACAACACCAGCCTCATCTCCGTAAAAAGTCAAGAAGAAAATGTCTACATACAGCACCGTCTCAATGGAGAGAAAGGATGGATTGGATTTAATGACAGAGACACCGAGGGCACCTTTGTTTGGGCCGGTAAACAGTTAAGCAACTTCACTTACTGGGCCCCACATCAACCCAACGATTTCAGACGGAACGAGGACTGTGTTCATACCTTGGGAGTTGGACATAAATTCACATGGAATGACGTTAATTGTGGAAGGTGTCATTAATACACATGTTCCGAAGGTAATTGCATTCTTTTTCTCTTTTGCAAGACCACTTTCTTTGAAAGAATTCATAGTCTAGAAAATTAATATTTGCTCGGTTTTAATTAGAAATTGGAATGGTGGAATTCGAAATGATTAACATCAGTCCATCCCCCTTCCACCCTCGTTCCTTCCTCCCTCCATCCTTCCCTCCAATGGCCTTTTCTAGCCAGTTGCGATGGGTAGCTTGCTTTTCTAGTTCGTTTCTTTTTAATCGTTCTTTTTTTTTCCAATCTTTGTTTCTTCATTCAATTTTTTCTTTATTTAAGACCTTGATGAATGTAAAGGAAATAATCATGACTGCTACTAGAATGGGATTTGTGCCAATAGACAGGGATCATGTATTGCAAGTGGTTGACTGATTAAGTGACCATCGAGCGACTGTCACTAACTTTTCACATCACATTTATTCTTGATTTCAGTCCAAAAAGGTAATGCATTAGTTATTATAAGACTATAAATTCCCTGCCCCTGCCCCCGTTCTCAGACCTGTCACGTTTCGTTCGACCTGTCTAAGTTTCGCTCTTATGACGTTCTAGGACACACTCCGTAGTTTGACTTTAAAAGCAGTTAATAAGCTGCATGACTTTTAAGATTGTTCGTATTCTCTTTTGCTTTAGCTGCTTTGAGATCTTGGCCAAAAACCGCCTCAACTCACACTAAAGGCTGGTAACATAGAGAAATATGTTGAGGCTTAAACTCAAGCAACAAAATTAAACACGCGATGTAGTATGAAAACGTGAATATCTCTCGTTAACTAGAGAATATGAAAAAAGTTCATGTTATAAGCGTAATTTGCTAGACAGGCAAGATGAACGGTGAGTTGCTCGTTTGAAAGACTTTCGATTAGTGAGGTTTCCCTAGAAGCCCAGCCCTTTCTGGTGAATGCCCAAAAATGGCTGTGAAGAAGACTGTAAAAGAAGGTTTTCATCGCCACGCGTGCACGCAAATCTCTGAATGCACATTTTTCCCCTGGTGTAGATGTCGATGAATGTACACTAAGCAGTCATGACTGTGTTGCCAACGCGAAATGTACCAACATTCCAGGATCATTTACGTGCCAGTGTGACCATGTGGCTCACTACTATGGAAACAGGACCAAGTGTCATCCTTTCAGTAAGTCCATTAATCACCGTTGGACCATCGTTACCTGGGAAAACCGTTAATCTTGACTTTGGATGAGGCTATCCCTCTGAGGACGAGTGAAAATTTGGGCGAGCGAAAATCGGCAAGGGTCACTTAATGATTTTTGTTTTGTTCTGTTTTGTTGTGTTTTGTTTTTAACT